ATCCCAAAGATTTTGGACTATTGTTTTTATTTTCATTTTTCACCATGTATTTTTTAATGTCCTGTTTGATTTCTTGGTTGAATCATTTACTGTTAAGTAGAATGATATTTAGCTTCCATTTATTTGTGGTCTTTCTAGAATTTTTCTTATGATTGATTTTAGTTTAATACTGTTGTGGTTGGAAAAGATACATGAAATGACTTCAATCTTTTTGAATTTGTTGAGACTTGTTTTGTGGCCTAACATGATCTATTCTGTAGAATGTTTCATGTGCACATAAAAATAACATGTATTCCACTGTTTTTGGATGGAACGTTCTGAATATATCTGTTAGATCCATTTGGTCCAATGTGTTATTCAAAACCACTGTTTCCTTGCTGGTTTTCTGCCTGGATGATTTATCCTTTGATGTAAGTGGGGTGTTAAAGTCCCCTACTTCTGTTGTATTACTATCACTTTCTTCCTTTATGTCTGTTAATAGTTGCTGTGTGTATTTGGGTGCTTTCATGTTGGGTGCATACATATTTACAATTGTTATATCTTCTTGTTGGATTGTTCCCTTGATCATTAAGTAGTGTCCTTCTCTGTCTCTTGTTACAGTCTTTATTTTAAAATCTATTTTGTCCGACATAGATATTGCTACCCCAGCTTTCTTTTCGCTTCCATCTCATGAATAAAATTTTGGTTCAGCTTCTCTCCTTTCTCCAGTTCCCTGAACTTTGGCCTTCCCCCAGCCTAAGCGCCTACTGAGAATAGACTGGCCTCAGGGGAAAATATTCTCTGTTATACTATGTGATCATACTACCTTTCCAGCCCACTTTTCCACATTTGATTTTTTCTAGCCTTGCTTACTCTTCTTATACAGAAAAACACCTTTTGCATAACTCTTCAGATGTTTGAAGAGTTTATGGTCACAGCACAGCATTCTCCCTATTGCAATAGCCCCTTTTCCCTCTTGTAATAATTCTTCTGAATAAAAGTCTCTTCTTACTAAATCTGTATTTGTTTGTTTTATTTGAAAATACTTAACATACAATAAAACACACCTGTTTTAGTTGTACAGGCCCATGAGTTTTGATAAATGTATGCATTTATATAATCACCATTGCAATAAAGATTCAGAATGTTTCCATCACTCCATCAAAGAGTGCATACTGTATGATTCCACTTATATAAGACTCTTAAGAATGCAAACTAATCCATAGTGACAGAAAATAGATTGCTGACTTCAGGGTGGAAGGATTACAAAAAGGCACAAGGAAAGTAGATGCATATGTTCACTATTTTAATGGGTGATGGGTCCACAGATGTATATATGTGTGAAACTAAACACGTACGGTTTAAATATGTGCCATTTCTTATTGTTAAATATATATTAACAAAGCTGTTAAAGGGGCACCTGGTGGCTCAGTTGGTTAAGTGTCTGACTTCAGCTCAGGTCATGATCTTCCGGTTTGTGAGTTCGAGCTCTGCGTCGGACTCTGTGCTGACAGCTCAGAGCCTGGAGCCTGCTTCAGATTCTGTGTCTCCCTCTCTCTGTCCCTCCCTTCCTCATGCTCTATCTCTATCAAAAGTGAACATTTAAAAATTTTTTTAAAGTAAAGCTGTTAAAAATATGAATGTACAAAAACATTTACAAATTAAAATGCCCTGTAGTTATCTCTCACAGCCAGAGAAAACTTCACAGAGAGACACACATATTTCCAACCAGAAAGTAGGTGCAGAAGGCACCCAGAGGAAGAAATTGTGCTGATCACATTATGTAGAATGCAGCAGACAAAAGTAGTTCCTGAGCAG